GACATCCAGAAAGTCAGGAGCTTGTAGAACATATAAATGACATTCTTCAGCAAAAAGTATCTGAGTGGATGGAAGATATCAAAAGGAAGGATTGGTCTTGAGCAGTGCTTTTATACTGTTGTATATAATTTTATTGTTATTTTAAAATTCAATCTAATTAATAATAAAATTTTAATTTAATGATATATTTTAATAGATGCAATGAATATTCAAATATCATGACAAACTAAAAATAGTTTATATGCTTTAGTATTTAGACAAAACCCTTTACAATATTTTACGATATTAAAAGAAATTAAAGATTGATATATTAATTTAGAAGATAAACTATCTAAGAATTGGTTTGAACTATCTAAGCTTCAAAATAATTTTGATTGGCAAGAAGTTGTAGAGTCGCTTTTAGAAGCTGCAGCATTAAATATAAAAATATTTTTTTTTTTTTTTTTTTTAGTACAATAAATATTTTTTATTTCAATTTAACTCTTTTAGAAACAGCAATTGCTTGAGCATGAATTGAAGAATGAATTGAAGAATGAAAGATTAGATGAAAAAAGAGTATATTAAATAGAGGATGATAAAATATTAGATAATACTGTGAATAATATCATGGATAACACTGTGAATGACAAATTGAATGATCAATTAAGTAAAAGGATGAATGAAAGGTTATATGAGAAGTTGAGCATAGGAGTAACTAAAAAAGAAAATATAGTAATGAGCATAAGTATTTAATACTATTATTTTAATAAAAAAAATTCAATAAATAGCTATCTGACAAAAAAAATAGTCTGATTGAATAATCAGAAAATGAAGCTGTTGATGAAAATTTATTCAAAGATGAAGCTGTTAGTAAAAGTTTATCTGAAGATAAAGTCATTGGAAGAAATTTTCCTGAAGATGAAGTTGTTGGTAGAAGGTTCTAAAAATATCCTCAACATTCGTCCAAGTAAAAAGCATAAATCATTTGTTTTGATGGCTACTACTGCAAATATCAATATGCAGATAATTACATATTATTTAATTTCATATATAATATAAGTTAAATTTATTTTTATTTTGCAGTTTTTTTTAAATAAATATAGTCCTAAACCTAAATATGCACTCTAGAATAGAAACAACATTTAAAAAATATCAGTTTATGAAATTTATCAAAGTGTTACTACAAAATCTTTTGAACAATATCCCAATAATATGAAGTCACAACTTAATAAATATAATAAACAATTTAACAACAAATTCAATGTTGATGATTTAGTGCATATCAAGATTCTTAGTATTGATAGAACACACACTAATCGAAAAATACTCCTATGCAAAATTCTCGAAATATCAAAAATAACACATATAAACTTAAATATAAATCGGTTATTATTAAAATTATATATAATGCTAATAAACTGCTTCCTTTGGGTTCTGCAAGTTTTCTGAATTAAATAATATTCCTTTAATACTCATAAGTGTCTAAGAGATGTTGATTATGCAATCTTCTTTACAAATTAACAATATTAAATGCAATTGCAAAAATTCATATGAAAAAAATTATTGAAAATGTAAAATAATGAATTTGCTATATGGTAGTAGTTGTTATCTTAGTAATTATAAATGTAAAAACTATACCGATATGTAATTTTTTTAAATAAATTGAATTAATTTGCTGATATATTATTACTATGAATAAATATTATCATTTTTTTTGTTTTTAATAAATATTATTTTAAAGTGACTTAAATTCCAAAACAATATACTCAATAAAATAATTTAGAATCCACTTATTTTATTATAAATTAAATTGAAATTCTTTAGCAACTCAGAAATGTTTTAGAATTCTAATGCAACCTATGTTTATTTTGAATCAATCTAGATGGAATCTAAATCTACAACAATTCTATTTCAATATATAACATATATATCTTTTAATTTTTACTTTAAGATAAATATGCTAATAACTAATAATTAATAAAATACAAATATTAAAATAATAAAATAATACTAAAATAAAATAATAAACTAATAAAATAAACTGTTCTATAACAGTACTATAAGATTTTACAATAAGTCAATTTTTGGGATGACACCTATTGTTCTTTGTGTACAGCCAGATATAACACAAAAATGTTTGTCCTTTACAAAGAATATTAGCCACTAGAACTTAAAGATATCCTAAAATATAATCAAAAGAAATAGTATTAATATTCAAACTATTAATGACTATATATGGCCTTGAATTCTAAATAATATATATAAAATATATTATTTTACAAGAAAAAGAATAACTAATTTATAAAATTTTAAAATAATAGGTAAACTAATAAGAAGAAAAAAGGTTTTTTAAGAAAAATTGCTTTTGGAAATCACAATAACACAAAGAATTTCTGGTTCTGTCATCATCACCAAAACTGTAATATAACAAGTTAGACCTTTGGTTAACAAGTTACCTTACTTGACTAAGTGTACAAGTAGTTAAGAAATGTGTTTATATATTTTATAGAAGAAAACAGTTTATAGATAAGATAAAATATTATTAACTTATTGCTATAGCAACACTCACAAAGAAAAGGTTATAATCAACAAAGTTTATAGACAAAGATAGATTTATTAACTTAGATAATACTCAAAAGATTAATACAGATAAAACAAATATATAACTCAAGAAAAATACAATAGTTTCCAGAAAATTATCACAGAAAAGGAACTTATTCCCAACAAAAATAATATAAAATATCAAAATAGAACTTATTTCTAATACAAAGCCAAACAAACACAAAATAGCAAAAGTGCTCTTGCTATATCAAAAGGTACCTATTCTATATTAAAAGGTGCTTATTCAATATTAAAAAGTGCCTATCCTATAAGGAAAAGTGCTTTTGCCATAGTAAAAGATGCACAATCTCTAATTTTAATTGTTCTAAGGTGCCTATTCACTATCTGAAAGTGCTTATTCACTATCTAAAGGTGCCTATTCTATAGTAGAAAGTGTTTTTCCATTAATAAAAGATGTCTTTTTTTTAATTAATTACTATATTCTATAGTAAATTAATATTCCAGAAAAAGATATATAAACCCTGTCTCTTTTCTAAGACAAGAAGACAGTTGGTCCCCATATTTTGGTTGCTATAGCCTTGTTATTATATACTTTGATTTTGGGAATAGGTTCTATTTTATTTTTGTTATAACTTTGTATTAGAAATAAGTTCTATTTTGATATTTTATATTATTTTTGTTGGGAATAAGTTCCTTTTCTGTGATAATTTTCTGGAAACTATTGTATTTTTCTTGAGTTATATATTTGTTTTATCTGTATTAATCTTTTGAGTATTATCTAAGTTAATAAATCTATCTTTGTCTATAAACTTTGTTGATTATAACCTTTTCTTTGTGAGTGTTGCTATAGCAATAAGTTAATAATATTTTATCTTATCTATAAACTGTTTTCTTCTATAAAATATATAAACACATTTCTTAACTACTTGTACACTTAGTCAAGTAAGGTAACTTGTTAACCAAAGGTCTAACTTGTTATATTACAGTTTTGGTGATGATGACAGAACCAGAAATTCTTTGTGTTATTGTGATTTCCAAAAGCAATTTTTCTTAAAAAACCTTTTTTCTTCTTATTAGTTTACCTATTATTTTAAAATTTTATAAATTAGTTATTCTTTTTCTTGTAAAATAATATATTTTATATATATTATTTAGAATTCAAGGCCATATATAGTCATTAATAGTTTGAATATTAATACTATTTCTTTTGATTATATTTTAGGATATCTTTAAGTTCTAGTGGCTAATATTCTTTGTAAAGGACAAACATTTTTGTGTTATATCTGGCTGTACACAAAGAACAATAGGTGTCATCCCAAAAATTGACTTATTGTAAAATCTTATAGTACTGTTATAGAACAGTTTATTTTATTAGTTTATTATTTTATTTTAGTATTATTTTATTATTTTAATATTTGTATTTTATTAATTATTAGTTATTAGCATATTTATCTTAAAGTAAAAATTAAAAGATATATATGTTATATATTGAAATAGAATTGTTGTAGATTTAGATTCCATCTAGATTGATTCAAAATAAACATAGGTTGCATTAGAATTCTAAAACATTTCTGAGTTGCTAAAGAATTTCAATTTAATTTATAATAAAATAAGTGGATTCTAAATTATTTTATTGAGTATATTGTTTTGGAATTTAAGTCACTTTAAAATAATATTTATTAAAAACAAAAAAAATGATAATATTTATTCATAGTAATAATATATCAGCAAATTAATTCAATTTATTTAAAAAAATTACATATCGGTATAGTTTTTACATTTATAATTACTAAGATAACAACTACTACCATATAGCAAATTCATTATTTTACATTTTCAATAATTTTTTTCATATGAATTTTTGCAATTGCATTTAATATTGTTAATTTGTAAAGAAGATTGCATAATCAACATCTCTTAGACACTTATGAGTATTAAAGGAATATTATTTAATTCAGAAAACTTGCAGAACCCAAAGGAAGCAGTTTATTAGCATTATATATAATTTTAATAATAACCGATTTATATTTAAGTTTATATGTGTTATTTTTGATATTTCGAGAATTTTGCATAGGAGTATTTTTCGATTAGTGTGTGTTCTATCAATACTAAGAATCTTGATATGCACTAAATCATCAACATTGAATTTGTTGTTAAATTGTTTATTATATTTATTAAGTTGTGACTTCATATTATTGGGATATTGTTCAAAAGATTTTGTAGTAACACTTTGATAAATTTCATAAACTGATATTTTTTAAATGTTGTTTCTATTCTAGAGTGCATATTTAGGTTTAGGACTATATTTATTTAAAAAAAACTGCAAAATAAAAATAAATTTAACTTATATTATATATGAAATTAAATAATATGTAATTATCTGCATATTGATATTTGCAGTAGTAGCCATCAAAACAAATGATTTATGCTTTTTACTTGGACGAATGTTGAGGATATTTTTAGAACCTTCTACCAACAACTTCATCTTCAGGAAAATTTCTTCCAATGACTTTATCTTCAGATAAACTTTTACTAACAGCTTCATCTTTGAATAAATTTTCATCAACAGCTTCATTTTCTGATTATTCAATCAGACTATTTTTTTTGTCAGATAGCTATTTATTGAATTTTTTTTATTAAAATAATAGTATTAAATACTTATGCTCATTACTATATTTTCTTTTTTAGTTACTCCTATGCTCAACTTCTCATATAACCTTTCATTCATCCTTTTACTTAATTGATCATTCAATTTGTCATTCACAGTGTTATCCATGATATTATTCACAGTATTATCTAATATTTTATCATCCTCTATTTAATATACTCTTTTTTCATCTAATCTTTCATTCTTCAATTCATTCTTCAATTCATGCTCAAGCAATTGCTGTTTCTAAAAGAGTTAAATTGAAATAAAAAATATTTATTGTACTAAAAAAAAAAAAAAAAAAAATATTTTTATATTTAATGCTGCAGCTTCTAAAAGCGACTCTACAACTTCTTGCCAATCAAAATTATTTTGAAGCTTAGATAGTTCAAACCAATTCTTAGATAGTTTATCTTCTAAATTAATATATCAATCTTTAATTTCTTTTAATATCGTAAAATATTGTAAAGGGTTTTGTCTAAATACTAAAGCATATAAACTATTTTTAGTTTGTCATGATATTTGAATATTCATTGCATCTATTAAAATATATCATTAAATTAAAATTTTATTATTAATTAGATTGAATTTTAAAATAACAATAAAATTATATACAACAGTATAAAAGCACTGCTCAAGACCAATCCTTCCTTTTGATATCTTCCATCCACTCAGATACTTTTTGCTGAAGAATGTCATTTATATGTTCTACAAGCTCCTGACTTTCTGGATGTCTCAGATGACCATTAATAATATGAACATCAGGCCAAATAGTTAATAATTTCTAAATTATTTCTACTATAAATTCATGACTATTGTTGCTTTGAAGAATAATGGAAGCACCAAAAAAAATGAAAGCATCAAAAAGAAAAACAGCAACCTTAATTGATCTCTTGCTTGTCAAAGTCTAGACCTAAGAATATCAGATAAAATAATTTCTCATGTGACAGATATAATGGTAATCCCTATTGGAGATACTAGTCATAGAAATTAAATCAACCTAAACTCGATTAAGAAAAGCATTAGAAATGATTAGCTTTGCAGTTACTGAATTGGGAAAATTTCTCTGTATTGCACATATTGTACAATTTTTTACAAATTTCTTAATAAAGGATTGTGGAATATAGCAATATTGTTTGGAAATCTGTATTAAAAAAAAATAAAATAAAAAAAATAAAATAAATAAATCAATAATATTATATTATACTTAAAACTAATTAATTAATTTGTAGATAATATACTGCTTCTCAGAGTTTTGTTGAACTAACATGTTTCAAGACTCCTTGATATAAATTACACAATATTTTATATATTTTGTTAATGGGCACACAGGTAGGTTTGATTCAATTTTTATAAGTTGCAATATGAGGTTAGCCAGTGTTCTAAGATCATGTAAAGAAAATGTTTTTTTAGTCCAATAATGATTTTTTGTATTTTCAATTTTGGTATTTAAAGGATCTTGTAAAACACTAATACAAAAGTCAAAATCTTCACGTGTGATGAAAGTTTTACAGCACCTATTATCTGATTTGCTGTCAAGAAATTTGCCAAGCAACTTGTCAAATACATCACAAGATAAAAATGAATAGTCTTGAGATCCGGCCATTAAAGAGTAAAAATTTTAAAATAAATAAAAAAATTTTTTGTCAAATATATGTAGAAAATTTGCATAATTTTTTCTTTATAATATGTAATATTAACTATTGTAAGCTATTAAAAATATCATATACATAATTTTTTTTTATAATACATAATATTAACTATCATAAGCTATTATAAACTATCATATACAATATTATTATTAATCAATTATATATTTATTATATATTGAAGAGTTAGAATCAATCTAGTTTGAATCTAGATTTCATATCAACTTAGGCTACAATTGAAATTCTATTCTAACCTAGATGGATTCTAAATCTACAACAATTCCATTCCAATGTATAATATATATAACAATTAGCTTTAACACTTAATACTTAGCAATTATACTTAGCAGTCAGAGGACATATCCTTTTTCAGGGGTTCCAAATGCTGTTACTTATAAATCAAATGAGTTGACTCACCCAA